GAGAGTGTCTTTCTCTGTCACCCAGTCTGAGGTGCAGTGGCACGATCGTAACTCACTGCAGCCTCAAACTCCTGGCCTCAGGCAATCCTACTGCCTCAGTCTCCTGAGTAGCTGGGCCTACAGGTGCACACCACCATGGCCAGCTAATTAAAAAAAAAATTTTTTTTTATAGAGACAGGGTCTTGCTACCTTGCCCAGGCTGGTCTTTGAACTTCTGGCCTCAAGTGATCTCCCACCTCAGCCTCCCAAAGTGCTGGGATTACACGCCTGAGCCACCATGCCTGGCCCAGAAATAAGCACCTTTAAATATACCCAGTGATGAACAGTTGAGTGGGTGACAATGAGAATACATAAATAGATTTCTTTAAATTTATTTAAATATGACCGTCCCAATTATTTCAAAGAGTTACAGCATTTGAAACAAAAGCATGAAGTTAGACCTTAATGGACAGTCTCAGAAAAAAGCAGTCTGACCACTTTCTGGCTTTACCAAGCTGCTGTCTGACTTTCTGCCCTGCACTTTGTGCTTGGGGACAGGCCATATTGTTACCTTTCAGATGGATTGACCTCAGTAGCCTTTTGTTTGAAATGTGCAGGTCAAATGTTCCTGTCTATGCTAAAGGTAAATTGGCTTTAAAAGGTTTTTGTTTGTTTTCCAGCAGATTAGAATAAAGCCAAATTGTATTTCTTATATCAAAATATATTTAAGCAATTTGAAAATGTTAATGGCAATTGTATTTAATTGTTTTCTTTTATAAAGTTATACTTAGGTATTGTGAAAATTAAATATTTAATTTCACAATACTTAATTTGTGATAGCATTAAAAAGGAATGAATGATTGGCCATAATTGTGCCACTGAGAGATCTCTACTGGCATTTTTCATTTTAGACTTTTGTCAGCCCATTTTTATATTGATGAGGTCATATTTTATAAGCAATTGTGAATCCTGAGTTTTATACCTGGAAAAATGTATATGATATAATATTATTTTGTAAAAAGCTTTTTATAAACATCTTTTGATTGCCTTATTTCATCATATGAAAGTATCATAATTTACTGAGTTATTCCTTTTTGAACATATGTTTCCAATGTTCTATTTTTTTTGAGACGGAGTCTTGCTCTATTGCCCAGGATGCAGTGCAGTGGCATGATCTCGGCTCACTGCAAGCTCCCCCTCCCGGGTTCACGCCACTCTCCTGCCTCAGCCTCCTGAGCAGCTGGGACTACAGGTGCCCGCCACCATGCCTGGCTAATTTTTTGTATTTTTAATAGAGACAGGGTTTCACCATGCTAGCCAGGATGGTCTCAATCTCCTGACCTCGTGATCCACCCGCCTCAGCCTCCCAAAGTGCTGGGATTATAGGCATGAGCCACTGCACCTGGCCTCCAATGTTCTATTATTGTAAATAATACTGTGATAAACGTCTTGATGCATGAGTCTGCATTTTGGATTAGTTTCTTAATATTTCTATATATGTAATTATTGGTGCAAACAATGTGAACATTTTTCAAAAGTATTACATATTACCAAACTACAGTCTAGAAATGTTATGCTGGTTGCATATGTTGAACAGGGTGGTTCTGCTCTAAATGTATTTGTTTTCCAGTCTCTTTCCCAACTATATCCTATAACACTTCATAAGTGCTAGGGAAAAAAAAGTTTAATTTTAGGTTGTATTTGTCTTTTCTGGAAACTTTAATTATCCCCCACATCAAAGTGACAGATCAGCCTTTATTTAAATTTTCAGATATGCAATCAAAGGGACATACTAATTACAGAAAATATTCCATAAAGACATAATCAGAAAATCCTAATGGTACCTTTATGTGCATCCTCATAGTATCTTGTGCAAACTTACAGCATTGCACTTTTCACACTGGTGTAATGGTTTGCTTCTGTCTCCAGCTAGCCTGAAAACTCTTTGGGGTAGGGCTACACAAAAACAAATGAACGTTGAACCCTCATCCAACTCTGGCAAAGATCTGAATTGCAATTGGGATATAAGGATGTCATCCTTAATACTGTATTAAGGTGACCTGGGCTCCATTCCTGATGCCTATTTGCCAGTTAAAAGGACTTTATACGGAAGGTATATGTCATCATCTAGCTTTGCTACAGGAGGACTAATAAATATACATCCTATGGGTGAAATCATCCTTAAAAGGTCCCCAGAGAAGGCCCATTTTATGATGTTTTTTGAGTGTGAAAGACTCATTTATATCTAAGATGAAACTAATGTGTACTCATTTCAAATATAAGGCAAAGTTCTCCATGCTGTGGCCTAAGAAGATCCACAACTCTGTCACTGAGTGTTTTCTCTCAGCTTGGAACACCTTCTGCTTACTCCAAACTAGTAAAGAGGATAAGTTTATTTCTAGACTACTACATAAACAAGTCGCCCCAGATACCCCAAATCGATAATTCTTGGAACTCCCGCAGCACTCTGTATAGACATACCTGTTAGCACTTCTCTTGCTGCGTTTTACATACTTATGTACACAGCTCTTTTCCCACCAAAAAGAACAGTTGAAGGCGGGTACCGTGTCTTACATTTGTATTGTTGAGTTTTAGCATTGTAAATGGGGCATAATGAGTGTAAAGTAGATGGTGCTAATTGAACAAAAAAGTGGTCCAGATTTTCAGAAACGATTTTTATCACATATATATTACCAATATCGTATTGAAGCCAACCTTTTTTACATGTGAACATCTGAATAAAGTTCTGTAGGTCTGATCTTCTAACGCTGCTAAAGCTGGCTCCTCCACCAGTGTGCTAGGAGAAGGGAGGAAATGGAGACAATATTTCTAAACTTTGCTATTGATGGGGACTTGCAGATCTGACCAACTGTGTGCATGTGCACTTATGCTCATGTGCACCAATGTAGGCGAACCCAAACAAATTTCACCAAGAATGTTTCCTGTTTAGAAATAAGATGGCATTAGTACAGTGTGAAAGAATAGAGATTTTTCAAAGTAAACTCTCGAGTTGTGTCTATTTATATACAACATGAAGAACTGAGGAAATTTCTTCAATAATTCAAAAGCTTGAGAAAACTTTTATTTTTTTATTATATGTTGAGACAGAGCCTTTCTCCGTCACTCAGGCTGCAGTACAGTGAGCCACTCTTGGCTCACTGCAACCTCCACCTCCTGGGTTCCAGTGATTCTTGTGCCTCAGCCTTCCGAGTAGTTGGGACTACAGGCACGCGCCACTATGCCAGGCTAATTTTTGTGCTTTTAGCAGAGACAAGGTTTCACCATGCTGTGCAGGGAGGTCTCAAACTCCTGGCCTCAAGTGATCCACCTGCCTTGGCCTCCCAAAGTGCTGGGATTACAGGTGTGAGCCACCGTGCCCAGCCAGGAAACATTTTCTACTATCTAGATATTATGAGGTTTCTGTTAATCATGATGAAATCATGCAAAATACAGATTTTGATGGGAGCCAGGGTCAGGCGGATAACCTGAGGTCAGGAGTTCAAGACCAGCTTAGCCAACATGCCAAAACTCCGTCTCTACTAAAAGCACAAAAACTAGCCAGGTGTAGTGGCACGCACCTGTAATCTCAGCTCCTTGGGAGGCTGAGGCAGCAGAATCGCTTGAACCCAGGAGGCGAAGGTTGCAGTGAGCCGAGATTGCACCACTGCACTCCAGCCTGGGTGACAGAGCACCACTTCGTCTCAAAAAAAAAAATACAGTCTTTGAATTCTTAATTGGATCAACTCAATGCTAGCAAGAATGCAGAGACACATGAATTCTCCTGGGCATTAGGAATGGAGCCCAGGTCACCTTAATGTAGTGTTGAGAATGACATCCTTATATCCCAATTGCAATTGGGATGTTTGCCAGGATTGGATGAAGGTTCAACATTCATTTGTGTAGCCCTACCCCAAAGAGCGTTCAGGATAGCTGGAGACAGAAGCAAACCCTTATACCAGTGTGAAAAGTGCAGTGCTGTAAGTTTGCACAAGATTATGATGAGGATGCAGAGGAAGGTACCATTAGGATTTTCTAATTATGTCTTTATGGAATATTTTCAGTAATTAGTATGTCCCTTTGATTACATATCTGAAAATTTAAATAAAGCCTGATCTGTCACTTTGATGTGGGGAGTAATTAAAGTTTCCAGAAAAGAAAAATATAACCTGAAATTAAACTTAATTTTTTTTCCTACCACTTATGAGGTGTTATAGGATATAGTTGGGAAACAGATTGGAAAACAAATACATTTAGAGCAGATCCCCCATGTTCAACGTATGCGGCACCTCACTAGGCCAAAATTAAACTTAATTTTTCATTCCTAGCACTTATGAAATATTATAGGATATAGTTGGAAAGCAGATTGGAAAACAAATACATTTGGAGCAGATCCACCATGTTCAATGTATGCGGCACCTCACTAGGCCTTGGGGGATCAGGGTTCTATTTCAGGGTTCCATAGCTTTATTGTTTACTAGCTAAGAGAGCCCAGATGGGTTTGATCAGTGCCCTGGGGTTTGGTTTCTTTATATGACCAACTGGGAAGCCTTACCAACCTCATAATTAGGAATTTCCACAGTATTAAGTATGATCATGCTTTTAATATTATATAGAATATATAGATAGAGAGGATTGTAATTATTGTTTAATCACCTTCTGTTTCTTTAAACTTGATAGAAGTGCTTCACTGGTCATTAGCAGGATAATGACTGATGCAACTTTTACATGAAACCATGTCATTTTGACTTAAAGCAACAGATCTCTGGTATAAGAGGTAGTCTGGCATCTAGCTACTACTCTCTTTCACTGTGCAGTCAGCTCTCGCTATGGCATGCTCTTTCTTTTCATGCTGGTTTCTACTCGAGTGTCACTCCCTCAGAGGGGGGCTTCCTGAGCAACCCGTCTAAGTTTACATTTTTATTCTAGCGTATACCATTATACTGCATATTTATCTCCCTGTCTTTTTATTGTTTGTGTCACCACTGTAATATAATCTCAGTGATGATAGGACCATGAATGGTTCTTTTCCCCCCCGTTGCTTCTTCAGAACCTGGAATAAGACCTGACACATAGCCCTCCAAAATACTTGTCGGGTAACTGAAACTGAAGTAGAAAGCTGTAAAGATATCCCAGTATCAGTACAGGCTTAAAGATACTGACCCAGAATCAGAAACCATAGTAAATACGCACTGTTGGTGGTTACAGGCACACAATCAGCTGGTCTGACTTGGCTGATACTTAGGTGGTGTCAGTGCAGTGGACTCCGCTTCCCGGGTTCACGCCATTCTCCTGCCTCAGCCTCCGGAGTAGCTGGGACTACAGGCGCTGCCACCTTGCCCGGCTAGTTTTTTGTATTTTTTTAGTAGAGACGGGATTTCACCGTGTTAGCCAGGAAGGTCTCGATCTCCTGACCTTGTGATCCCTCCGCCTCGGCCTCCCAAAGTGCAGGTGTGAGCCACTGCGTCCAGCCGATATGAGGTTCTTAATGGACCTATTTCCCAGGGACCTTTCTCTCAAGCACATTTGCCTTGTTTTATTTATTTATTTTTTCTTCTTGCTTCTGAATGTGCATATTTTCCAATTAGTTTTCCAAATAATACATTCAAGGGTGGCCCCAATATGTGGAAAATTGCTTTGTTAGAATTATATTGAAGTTATAATGATCTAGAGGTTCTCCCCACCTTAAATAATTTGCTGTTACCCCACTTGGCTTACAGGAAAATTATACAACTTTATAAATATACTCATGAAATAATGTAATTTAGTACCTGCTTCTGGCAGTTATATGGAAGACCGCACCTCTTGACTTTCTTACTCTCAGACAAATACCCAGAACTTATTCACTCAAATAATATACTGTAGGGAAAATTTCCATACCTAATTCTGCTTTCTTGTCCAATACGGTTTTTAAAAATTATTTAATTTTTCATTTATTAAAGGAAAAATATAAGGTGATTTTTTAGTGTATAATCACCTACTATAAACAAAGTACTTGGTAGGCATAATAAATTGAAAAAACTACAATTCTCCAACCTTCATGAGGCTTTCAACATTACAGTGGGGGATGGGTTTGAGGTAGCCAAGTAATAGGCAAATACAATATGCTACGTTACATGATGGAAAGATGTACAGGATATTCCTCGATTGCATATGAGGAGCACTTAACTTACTCTTCTATGGTAGTGGATCGAGGAAGGTGACATCTGAATTGAATCATGAGTTATCCAGGTGAGGGATGGGAGAGGGAGACAGTGACTAGAGATGAGGCTGGCAGAGTAGAGAGTAGGTAGAAACCAGATTATGAAGAACCTTATAAGAGCTGTTAAATGGTTATAAATTTGGCCGGGCGCGGTGGCTCAAGCCTGTAATCCCAGCACTTTGGGAGGCCGAGGCGGGTGGATCACGAGGTCAGGAGATCGAGACCATCCTGGCT